GGGAGGGAGGGAGGGAGGGAGCTGGCGCCGGAGCTAGCCGCGGGCTGCGCACGGTCGGCCGGCCGAGCTTAGAGCGAGCTCTGTGTGCGGCTCCACAGGCTCCACAGGCTCCCGGGCTAAATCAATTACCACTGCACAAGAAAACTCCCGCCCGGCCGAGATTAGAAACAGGACCGGCGGGCACAAGACGGGGGGACCGACCGCTGCCGTTGAGGTCTCGCACGGCGCGCGGGCGCGGGCTCGGCGCGAGCCCTCACCACACAGCGGAGGGTTGGGCCCAAGGCGCAATCACACCAACACCAACGAGATTGTATTTATCGTCGACTGTGCGATTTAAAAAAAAACCTAAGCTTGCGCTAACGTGGAAGCAGATGATACAGGTTTAATTTTCAGTCAGTGTGCTTTAAATTGGGGAATATAGTAGGCCTTGCCCATAGTGACAGAGCGTAGGAGAACACAGTGGTCAGGGGAACGACATAATAAAGCCAAAAGCGGTCTGCTAAAAGGAGACAAAGCTTAATTCAATCGACTTCATGGACTCAAAATCGTGGGTAGTGCTTTATAACACATACAAGAACAACTTTTTCTTGACTACTCATTTTCCATCCCCCAAAGGCCCTCTTTTTCATCACACATATGCCTAATTGCTGAAAATATTAGAAATCAGGCCCTATTACAGGTAAATAACGTAACGTAAGACGTAACGTAAGACGTAACGTAAGACGTAACGTAAGACGTAACGTAAGACGTAACGTAAGACGTAACGTAATTACAGGTAATTAATGCAACAGGTAGGGGCCCATGAACTACTTTTTTGGGGCCACGGACCCCCTCTCCCTCCTTGGGGCCCCTTCTATATAGACGTAAATAGTTAATCATAATAATGTCGTCTAATTATAATTATAATTACTTCGTACAGGTAATTACAGGTAATTACAGGTAATTAATGCAACAGGTGGGGGCCCATGAACCACTTTTTTGGGGCCACGGACCCCCTCCCCCTCCTTGGGGCCCCTTCTATATAGACGTAAATAGTTAATCATAATAATGTCGTCTAATTGTAATTATAATTACGTCGTACAGGTAATTACAGGTAATTACAGGTAATTAATGCAACAGGTTGGGGCCCATGAACCACTTTTGAGGGGCCACGGACGCCCCCTTCCCTTGGGGCCCCTTATATACAGTTGTAAACAGTGTCTAATCATAATTACGTCGTTAGGTAATTACAGGTAATTACAGGTAATTACATGTAATTACAGGTAATTACATGTAATTACAGGTAATTAATGCAACAGGTGGGGGCCCATGAACCACTTTTTTGGGGCCACGGACCCCCTCCCTCCCCTTGGGGCCTCATATTTTCTTGTTTGACATCTTAGCCTTATCTCAGCTTCATATATATTAAAGTAGGTGTTGTACAAGCAGTGATACTGGAAGTATCATCTGCTAAAAAATTGAATGCACTTCAAGTTTCACGTGTATTTATTTTTGGGCGGGGAGGTTGAGTACCTGACGAGCAGTTTCGTCGAAACACACCACCATAGTGTCGGCTCCATACTTCATTCGTGATTTTATTCCCCGGCATGGAGGCGCACAGCGCGAGTTACGGGTGGCTCCAGTTCGCTATCAACAAGCAGTCGTTATAACCCTTTTTTTGAAGTTGAAGCGGTGAGGCGCACGAATAAGCCCCGTCGCAGCGTGACGCAGAGCGCCGCGACGGAAACGCGCCACCAATTTGGCCGGCACGTGCTTCCACCAATCGGGGCTCGGCCTCAACCGACACTGTCGGGGTCGGGTATGTTACTTTACAAATATTGTGACAAAAGTGTTAAACTACACGGGGAAAACAATTGAGTATTTAAAAAAATAAAATAACAGAAACCATAGTTTGCTGCGACTACGCTCGCGCTTTTTGTCAACTACCACCGGGCTGGAGCATCAGCGTGTCGTACATCATGAGCCGCCCCTCCCCCCCCCCCTCTCCGACACACTTGCTCTCGTTTGTCATGTTTGCGGTCCTCGGCGATTTGTTATTTGGCACGGTGAAATACTAACAGTGCTGCGACCGAAACGAACGCAGGAACGTAGGTGCTACATGGATCGTCGTATCAGAGTAAGGATATCAGATCTGACTCTGTGGTTGTAGACAAATTCCAAATTTTCTCATGATATATGAATCGAGTGAAAGTTCATAAAAAAACCACTCCTCCTGAGCACGGTAAGCGAGAGAGTCACGTATAGGCCTACTGCAGCAGCCATATTCCAAAAACTTCTCTGAAGTAGAGTGCATCTCGGCAAAGATCCCTCTTAGAGTCATATGATCGCCCATTGAATGAGTAAAGAGGGATATCATTATCCCCCCATGAGTGATATAATTGGGTGGCAACCGAATGAACACAGGACAGCCTGCATGGCGTACAAATATAACCAGAAAAAATCTGGCGTAGAACACACACCCTGTATAACGTTGTGCTCCGGCATATGACAGAAAAAGTCTTCACCTGCAGGCACCCACGGCTTCGGAGGTCGACTTAGAGTGGAGGGAGGGGAGAGAGCGGAGGGGTCATCCCGGCAAAAGAATCCACGGCACTGAGAGGGTACCAGGTAACACAATTCCGACACAGCGGCACAATCTAATAGCGACATACGCGGACAAAAGACCGACAGAGGGGGAGACTCGGCCGAACACGGCCAACACCCGGGGTGGGTCAGCGCCGGTCACGCCGAGGTCAGCACGCGCTGCGGCGCACTGCGTTCCTCGGAATCACGGTACGCTCTCATTCCCTCTCATATTTTTTTTTCGAAATATTTCCAGTTTAAAACCAGCAGGAATGTGCAGGAAACATTCGGGCACGGAGGGGTCGGCGATGGCAGGAATTGGTTACAATGCTAAAACAATTGTGGAAGTAAAGCAAATATAGAAGGAATGGAAGGGGTGCAGTCAAAGGTATCTGAGTTGTGAATGACGTGTACCATAAGACGAGCGGAGATCGAGAGGCGGAAGAGGAGAATGTTTGGAATAGGGGGGGGGGGGTGCTCTTTGAGAGATGGCTTTGTCCCATCCTCATTCAATAAACTTTGGTGAGGACCTCTTCGGGACGCATCATCGTATACAGAAAAGAAGCAACAAGTCGTACACTCGGTACACTCTCAATAAACGGCTGGGTGGCTCGGGCTCGGCCCGTGGCCAGGCTTCTGCACATGGTGCGCAAACCAAAAACAGGGTGATCCCTGGGACCCGGTGGATCCCGGATGCGGACGGGATTTCCTATCGTCTGCAGCCAATGGATCATCAAGAAAGCACGTCCGTGTCCGTTTTTCTCGGATTCATTGAGTTGATAACGGGGGACTCGACGCCTGCGAGATTCGGGTTAGGCCAACCCGCTCCGCACGCATGCACTGCAGACAAGATGTTGCCTACCTATCAGGCGCCCAAAGAGCTATACTTGGCACAACGGCGGATAACGGGCGTTATTTCTGGACGATCCCTTAAAGCCCCGTGCGACTAGACAACCCGCCCGCACGTCTGCATGGCGGGCTAGTAGACGCATTTGCCCAGACGGGACACAGCGATCACTCTGCGCGACATCCTTTTTCACGAAAAAAAAAAGATTCGCTGAGTCAGCTAATATATTGACTGGTATCTGGACAGACAAACACATAAACTTCTGTAACCACTATATTGTCTACTATAATTAATCATTGGCTGTGCCAGTCAAAAATTAGCTGTAAGAGCTTATCCCTTACCTAAATCAGTCGAGGTCTACCTTACTGATGCAGGCAAATCATTACTTCATACAACTTATCTTTGACTGGCACAGCCAATGATTGATTAGAGTAGAAAATATAGTGGTTACAGAAGTTTATGTGCTTGTCTGTCCAGATACCAGTCAATATACTAGCTGACTCAGCGAATCTTTTTTTACCGTGTTAAAGAAACGACTGAAATCCCGCGGTATTATTTTTTCGTGACTCGTGGCGTTGAGAGTCCATCCGGTCCGGGACTTAACATCCACTCTGTCTGTAGCATTCCCCGCAGGGTGGTGATGATGGAGCTGGCGCCAAGGCTGATAGGGTGGCGCGAGGCCGAGCGTGGGGGAGGCTCCGCCGGCCAAAAACGGCATAATTTTCATTACATTCGATACGTTTCGCCAGTTTCACCTGACGGCCGTGTGTAGGGCTGTGCGATATACAGATTTTGATATCGCGATACGATATTAGGCAGGTATCGAACATCGCCTCGATACATCGAGGCTCGATATTATCGAGGTATCGAGGCATATCGTGGGTATCGAAGCCTGTCGATGGCACGATACAACACGATATCGAGGTATATCGTGCTTAAAATATGCTACAATACCCACGTTATGCCTCGATATCCTCGATATTATCGAGCCTCGATAACGATATGTCGATATCGGGAGCATATCGAAGCCCTCGATATTAACATGATATCGTATCGATATCGAAATATCGAGATATCGCACAGCCCTAGCCGTGTGGCGCCGGGCCGGTGGCCGGTCTGCCGGCAGGCGGACACACCCCACGACGCAGGGGTGGAGCCGACACGGGGTACCGCTACAGCGGCCGGCGCACGCCTAGAAAGGCGAGTGCTTGATTTGTCGTGTACTTGATTTACTCCAGGACAATACGCTGGTTTTGAGAGTATTGGGAGGACGAAATTCACTGGTAATTGTGTCAACGAACGTATGTCCAAAAAAATCGAGTCGATTGAATTTCGGTCTATTTTTAGAATATATAGTTTTCGTGACAAAATACCTTTAAATAAAAAAGTGGATTTTTTTGGACATACGTTCATTGACACGGTTACCAGTGAATTGTTTTGCAACAAGAGCATTGTCCTTAACCAAGTACACGAAAAATCACGTGAAATGTAATCGTAATAATACCAAGAACACGCCTGTTTTGGGTGCCTCAGGGGAGGATTGACTGAGGATCATTGCCAGTGGTTGTTGTTCATACAGTGGTGCGTACTCTAAAGCAATCTCGCCCCCGACTGTTTCAGGATGTACAGCCTCGTGCTGCTACTGGCCTTGGTGTGCGTGGGAGCTTCGGACATGGCCTCGGACATGACCTCGGACATTGCCTCGGACATCGTCCAAGACACCTTCGTGGATCCACCCTACGAGGCCGGCGTCGAAGTCGCGTCCGAGGGCAACGCGGAGGAGGGCCCGCTCATGAGGAGCCTCGCCAAACTGTGCCGCCTCATCGACACGGAAGGACCTCCATGCGACGGGCTGCCGGCCTCGGCGCCAACCTCAGCGGAGGACGAAGAGGACGCCCTGGACAAGGAGGTCCACCTGGACTCGACAGACGAGCACGACGAGAGCGCCGAACAAGTCAGCGTCGAGGCAGACAAGAGAGCGTTCGCCAGCTGGGGAGGCAAAAGAGCGCCTTCATTCAACAGCTGGGGAGGTAAACGAGCCTCATTCAACAGCTGGGGAGGCAAACGAGCTCCAGCTTTTAACAGCTGGGCGGGGAAGAGGGAGTCGTTCAATAGTTGGGGAGGGAAACGGGCGCCAGCATTTAACAGCTGGGCGGGAAAGAGGGCTTCATTCAATAGTTGGGGTGGGAAACGGGGAGGCTCCCTGGTTTATCGGTTATGGGGTGGAAAGTGGATACCAACTGTTTGGAGCGGTAAGAGGGCACCCGCCTTCAACAGCTGGGGAGGCAAGAGAAGAAAACGGGAAGCTTCCTTCAATAGCTGGGGTGGGAAACGAGACGCTGCATTTAACAGCTGGGGTGGGAAAAGGGACGCTGCATTTAACAGTTGGGGTGGAAAAAGAGACGCTGCTTTTAATAGCTGGGGTGGGAAAAGGGACGCAGCATTCAACAGCTGGGGAGGTAAACGGCCATCATCTTTCAACAGCTGGGGTGGTAAACGAAACGCGGCATTTAACAGTTGGGGAGGTAAAAGAAACGCGGCATTTAACAGCTGGGGAGGTAAGCGAGCATCAGCATTTAACAGCTGGGGAGGTAAGCGTGACTCGGCATTCAACAGTTGGGGGGGTAAGCGGGACTCGGCATTCAACAGCTGGGGTGGTAAGCGGGACTCGGCATTCAACAGCTGGGGAGGTAAGCGGGACTCGGCATTTAACAGCTGGGGAGGTAAAAGAAGCGACGAGTTGAACGACCCCGAAGCTAAGAGGGCGGCTTCCTTCAACAGCTGGGGAGGCAAACGAAACGACGGCCAGCATGGCGACGGCAAGCGGGCGCCGGCCCCGACCAACGGCCGAGGAGATAAGCGGAGTGAAGGCGACCGGGGCGATGAGAAGCGGTCCGCCTCCTTCAACAGCTGGGGCGGGAAGCGGGCCGACGAGGTGGCCGAGTACGCACAGGGGGACGCGCCCTTGGAGAAGAGGGCCTTCAACAGCTGGGGAGGCAAGCGGGCGGCCATCCTGGTCCCGAGCCTACACAGCCTGTGGGGCATGCTGGGCCACCGGCCGCGGCCTGCCGTCTGGTCGGCGCGACCCTCCGACAAGCGCGTGCAGTTCAACCCCTGGGGCGGCAAGAAGAGGTCTGCCCCTGCCGGCCCCGCCGACCCCAAGCCCCTGGCCGCGCCCCTGGCAGCGCCCCTGGCAGCGCCGCACTCGGACCTGAGCAAGGAGCAGCCCGTCGACGCCGCGAGCCTCAAGCCACTGCCGCGAGCCAAGAGGGCGCGGGACTACGGCACCAAGCACCTCAGGAAGAACAGGAGGGGCCCCGAGTTCTACGCCTGGGGCGGCAAGAGGAGCGGGCTGCGCCGCTAACGTAGTTTAGGATGTGCCCCAAGCTTAAGGTGAATGTTGCTGCTCGTCAGCTGAACAGGCTCTATGTGAGGAGTACAACACCTACCCACTCTGATGAATGCGATTGAATGGTACAGCTATGTGTTGCGTTGATCGATCCACCACAATGCAAGATAAATCGTATGGAAAAAACAAATAAATAATAATTCTAATACATTAATCATCATGAAAGAGTCAATTGGAGATTTACTTTGATTTTGTACTGAATGCAGCCCACATTAGCTTGATGGGTTTTGAGAAGTAGTGTTCTTGTTAAACATCTTTACTACATAAGGTTGTCATATTTCCATAAACACAGAGAAGAGTGGTAATCTTGAGATATGTATTTATATATAAAATGGAAGGCAAAAGGCATAAAACAATAGAAAATTTGAAATGAAATTCTAATTATTCTTACCACATCTATCTGTAGATCAAAATCCAATAGTGCCTTCTTTTCCTTCTTTTCAAAGGAACTTCAGCAGACAAGTCTTGGCATATGCTGTCCTTTATGTTTAATTTGCGGAGTTATGTTCAACACAACAAATGTGAAAATTATAGACACTTTTAACTTTTGACATATCACTTCGCTGCAATATTTACTATTTCCCTGAGGTGATGATAAAACAATTGGTGTTCCTCACAGTATGGCTGGAACTGGGAGGAACGCTAATCTATCTAGCCTACAAATCGGTTTTCAAGTCATTAATTGCAAGAATCTAGATTCTAAAACATGATTTTTCTGGTGTTGCTCTTCAAATAAGTATAGTGGAAGCTTTCTTTACTGTGATGTAAGCAAATATTAACATTCCCCAAGACCGGAGAAATTTTCACCATCATGCTCTAGATGCTTATTTTGTCAGCTTGTTCGTTAAAACTGCTCTTGTCTTGTTTAAAAAACAAAAAACAAAAAAAAATGTTTAAAAATCAGTGGATTGAAAATGTTTAACACATTTCAGCAACAAGTAACAAGACAGAAAACATAACTTGCTTTGGTTACATTGTATCATAATTGGTTTTGGTCTAACGTTAGTTGATTATTGAATAGAGAAAAATCGTAGGAGTATGTAAGAGGTAGAAAGAACTGATATTTTCTGCTGAAGGACATGATGTGAAGTATATTAGTTCAGATGTTCCAGACTATGATTTGATTGAAAAGTTACTTGATCTCTACTACTCTTACTATAAGAAAATTATTGTATCAGCCTAGCTTACCAATGTCAGAGTTGTAAAAAAAACACAAAAAATAAAGTTTCTGTTAATTGAATTAAAACTAATGGTAATTTCCCAGATAATACCAAATACAATTTAAAATGCAATGAGTCCTAACAATTGCATTTCCAAACTTTCACTCAAAACTAGTCGTTTAACTTTGAATGATCAAGATCTTCCTAACCAAAATAAACACATAGAAAGTAAGCTAAGATGGTCATAAATGAAACAGATTTCAAAATCTAGAAGCTGACAGCAAATTGTTAGCTTACTTTGAAGCAGCTCAGTCGAGGCAGAATCTTCAATGGAACGGGCTGAGATTTTTCAAGCGATTAGCTAAATTTAAAACGTTCAAAACACTAGCAGAAGCAGCGGCGGAAAGGAAAGTGCCGAGCCGAGTGCCTTTTCTTTTATAGCCATTTGATAAAAGAAAGAAAAATTTACACATTTCAAAACAAGTTATGATTGAATAGCGGATTACCAGCGTCTTGTTCCAATCATTTTATCCATGTCATCTAATCCTTTAATTCTCTCCTTTTATAAAACACGCACATAAATTGAAATCAAACGGTAAAAATATTATAAAGAACGGTGAATAATGATTACCGCTGCTTAAATTTTTCATACATACAAAACTACTACACACTTGAAAAGCCGAAGTGATTCAAAACAAATGCACAACGAGCAAACAACTTGCTAACAAGCAGAAGACAAGCAGAAGATAATCTGTCACTTGCAAAATGTGGGAATCCCAATATTTGCCTTCCAGTACGAAACGCATCGTGATTTTGGGCTCAGGTGTTGTAGCGCTGTCTATTTGTGCCTACTCAGCGTATAAGTTCTGGAAGCAATACAGTCAGAGCATTGACGAAGGATTTGAAGATGCTTCGCGAGTATGTTGACGTATACACAGTGGTGCTTAGTGCCACCATTTTGCCGAGTTTTTACAAAATTCTATTTAAACCATCGTCGTTTTATTCTCAGATTGAAGATCGGATTCAAGTCGTTCGTGTATTAGTCATCGGCCTTGACCGAGCTGGTAAAAGCGCACTCATCTCTCAGTTACTCAATTTACCAGTGGAAGAGGACATGCCAACACAAGGCTCCAAACTATCTATGGCAGAAATAGGGAAAAGGGCATATAGTATTTGGGAAGGTAAAATGTAATTTTTCTGACGGGCATTAAAAATTGTTACGCTTCATATAAGTTCTAACTATTCTTTTTCTGATTTTGCAATAGTTGGGGGCGGTGAGAAGTACCGTAAGTCATGGACACATTTTGTCCAAGACACAAACCTAGTGATGTTTGTTGTTGATTCAACAGACAAAAAGCGCTTTCAGCTGGCAAGTAGTGAATTAAAGAATATTCTTGCTGATGAAAGACTGAATGGCATACCCTTAATAGTAGTAGCTAACAAACAGGTAAGATTATCAGTTTTAAGGCAGTAAATATGTTTTTCTTACATTTGTACAAAATGCAATTTACTATTCTTCTCACAGGATCTGCCTGGGGCTGTGGAGGCTTTGGAACTTTTTAAAACTTTAGATCTGAGCACTATTTGCAGTAATCATCTAACTACCTGTGTGCCAATGGCATTTGATAAAAGTTCAAAAACTCCACATTTTTACCTGGACAGGATTAGGTTTGCCATCAAGGACATGGTGGAATAGAAAATAGAATTCTTTTTTTAATTATAATTATTAGATTCTTACCTATTTATTTACATTCTTCATATTTAGGAAACTTTCTTCCTAATCATTAATTACAATAATCCTGAAGACATTTAGGAGCAGTCTTCACACACAGGAAAACTTGCTTGTTGCTTGCCTTAAATTTGAAAGGTTGCAAATTTCACATCATGGCTTATAACTTACAGATTAACATGTTGAAATATGAGCCACAGCTGATTTAAGCAATGATCTCAAGCAGTTTATCGTCATAATTTAATATTTTTGCAACTCTATTTGCTATATCAAACATTTCAAAAAATAAATAAAAATCAATTGCTTTGATCTCATTACTATGTAATTCTTAATTGATGTGGATTCTTTGACTCTTCATTCTTTACATAACCATACAATTAAACTTCGCAGTAAGAAAAATAAAAAAATATTAAAACATAACATTCGTGTATTTATCTTAAAGCCCCCCCTCTCTCTCTCACACACACACTGGACTGCGCAAGTCAACCACTAGGACAATCATAAAAGAGTACTCTTTTCAGATGAGAGTTTAGAAGACAAGTGAAATATTGATGATCTGAAGATCTGAAGATCATCACTACTATGGAAAGAGCACATTCTCTGGATGGATAGTTTTGTCAGTACACAAGAGTTAATTTTTGAAAAATTGTCAAATTGAGAAAGACTGGAAAGCACATCATGTCTTCTGAGCATCGGAACGACCAGCCATGTACGCTTCCCACTGGGAAGGAATGTTTTGAAATGTTCTAATTTTGTTTCGGATTTGTTTCCAAGTCTCTTGATAGATGTTTTTGCTGTCCTTGGACATGGCCTGTAAAAAAGGAAAAATAATACAAGCATAAATGATAATAATATAGAGTATTCAACATACCAGAATGTGAGGTAATTTAAACAGATTTCTTTAACTCACCTTGAAATCATCTCCATATTTGTCAATTAGGTATGAGAGATACATTACTTGACCCTTAGGTAACTCAAATTTTTTAACCCTCGGTGCTTTTGCTTCCACTTCTAATTCTTCAGCTACATGGGCCTTTATCGGTACAGACAAAGCCATTTCAGGTGTGTTTTCCTTCTTCCCTTCGGTTAAAAACGGCTCCAAAAGCTCCTACATTGAAAAAGTACGCAAAAACAATTTTATTTCTTGATAATAAAAGATGATTAGTTTGAACTTCTAACTACATACAGAAGAATAATTAAATGTGAGAGTTGATAATACCTTGGGGGTTGGTATTTTGAGAGTAGAATTAGGATCATATGATAATCCCATGCTGGTGAGATTTTCCTTAATTGATTTGTGTTCATCCCAAGCTTTCTTCACAATTGGACTGAAAAAATTAAAAGAAAGACAGGATTATAAAAAGTACATACCATTTTAAAATTTGAAAACAGCATGTACAGAATGTTATAACCTTCTAGATCGGTACTTACACACCAACGGCTGCAGTTCCTGTATTTGTTCTGGTTTTTCCCAACCTTTTTCGATTAACATTATACCTAAACTTTTTGTTTTTCCGTTGTCTCTTGGTTTTTCCCATTATTCTGAGAGGAAAGTCACAAACTCCGAGTAGAAAACTAACCAAGTCAACACGCGGCCGAAAGGTCTTAAATCCACTTTCATCATCAACAACCAGTGGTTAGTGTGAATAACGACTTTTGTTTTCTTTATTCGCAGTTCAGGCGGCTAAACGCAGATGAAAACATAGCAGAAGCCTTTATCGCTTTTATGGTTACATGTACCCCATAGCACTACTGGTGCATAAATATTTGATTTGTAGGATTTGTAATAAAGCAGGTATCAATGAAAATATTTACAATACTTCGTATGACATCTAGACACTTTGTTAGACTTAAATCTACTCAAGTTAATCCTCAAAAATACTGCATCGACCTTGTGAAGTGAGGAAACTGTTTTGTTCAAATGTCACATTGAATTTTTAATTGGTTTAATAATTTTAAACCTTAAATCAAGATCTGATCTTGTCTTTGCAATGTTTAAGTGAAAAACACATTGTTCCAATTTGTTGCAGAAAACATGATTTTGAGAACTATTTGTGTTCTGTATTTCTGCGTAGAAGAGATCAAGAGTGTGCATTTGCAATCCGAGCTTTCAACATAGAAGTTGCTAATATAGAAGGGCAAGTTAGCCAGGCTACCATAGGACTTATGCGCTTGAAATTCTGGGAGGAGGCAATCGAAAAGATTTTCAAAGATAATCCACCCCACCATCCTGTTGCTCAAGAAATTCACAGGGTAAGACAAAGTCGACTCCATTAAGTGAATCTTTAAATTTAGATAAAAAACATTGAACATGTTATTCTTTCTGACAGGTCCTTGAAAAAAATGTGATAACTAAACGAAATTTACGTCAACTTGTGTCGGCACGCACTGAGAAGTTGTCAGCTAGTACGTTCAAGAGTCTAGATCACATGGAAAAATATGGTGATCAAACATGCTCTCCCATATTTTATCTTCTTTTGACCTCTTGTGGTGAGTTAACTCTACACTTGATTTCCCTAATGAGAAACTTGAAAATAATATATTATGTACATGATTTACTTCTATAATGTAAGCCAATGCCTCATGCCTCACTCGAAGTCTGGCATTTAACTAACTCAGTTGTTTTGCGCACAGGTATTGAAAATGTCAATGCAGATCATGCATTTAGCCACCTTGGAAAGGCTCAGGGTTTGACTAACCTTATCAGATCCGTACCATACTATGCACAGAGAAAGGTAGTAATAATTCCTCAGGATATTTTGCTGAAGCATAGGGTTTCACAAGAAAATATTATCAGGGGAGGATGTGACAAACCGATTCGAGATGCTGTTTTTGATGTTGCTTGTAGAGCAAATTCACACATAGACAAGGTGAGTTTCTTTTTATGTTGTAGATTTAATGTTGAGGTGTTTCACAGTCAACTTACTTTAAAAACTGAAAATTAATTTTCAGGCAATGTCATTAGTAGAGCAAGTTCCAAATCGACTGTTTAGACAATTTTTACCTGTCGTTCCTCTCAAGTGCTACCTGGAAAGACTAAGACTTGTGGATTTTGATGTATTTCATCCAAATTTACAACTACGAGATAATAAATTAGCTTTGCGGCTTTTCTGGAAGACTCTCAGAGGAAAGCTGTGATTCTAAATTTAAAAAATATTGATTAAAAAGAAATGTTGAATGTTCTTGAAATTACCAATTTATTGCACTTTAGTTGAAGTATGCCTCAGACCCCCATCATTTAAAAAAAATGATAATTGATGATTGATTGTAAAATTGTAACACCATTCCTAATCAAAGGGTTTCTCAAAGAATTAATAAAAACAAGAAAACAAAGAAAACAACAAAATAGAAAAATTCATCCACTAGTGGATTAACAGATGGATTGAATGGTGGGAAATGGGGACTAACATAATTATAGTTGCCAACAGAAAATGGTTTAACAGGTGGCTAAAGTACAATTTATCTTTCAACATTAGTATCACAGTTAATTGTCCTTACACATTCTGCTACACATAAACCACTAATCTGAATCTGTAGTAAGTACAAATTTTCAAAATGTTAACCATGCACAAAATTAGCCTTCTCTTCTGCACTACAAAATCAGATCAGATACATAATCTGGTTAGCACATGTGCTTTCATTATTCCAACACCATACTGATTAGAGATTTTGCATTTTTATTGTCCAACTTGATGGGTAGATCTGACAAAGCTCTACAATAGGCTTGACCAATAACTCTACCTTTGCTATTACAAAGTCTATCGCTCCTTTTCTTTCTCTCTCTTCATCTTCATAGCTGACAATTTTTCCTGCATTTTTTCTTTAGCTTCTTTAAGTGGTCGCCTAGGTTTGATTAAACCTCTTCCTTTCAAAAATCTGATTGCCCATGTTGTTCCACCTGCACAGTGCACAAGAGGAAAAAAAAATCTGGTTAACAAAGAAAGATAATTTAAAAAAGAGTAATTGTTCTAAAACCCAGACGTAGCATTTTACCTAGTGTGACAGTATAACGGACAGGGGTGAAAATCTTATACAAAGCGTAGGCAACTGCAAAATATCCAGCACTGGAATCTCTCAAGATGCTGATTACACTTTCGCTGAAATGAAGTGATTCTAAGATTGCAATGATATCGATGCCACTGCGACAAAAAAAAAAAAGATAATACAAAAGAGACATTTTAATCACAATTAAAACATGATCAGAACACAGATACTGATAATAATTAGTTCATCTTATTCCTTACCTGGAAGCAGCATAATAAAAGCAACCGTAGAAAACTATTGAGGTTGACACATGTACAGGGACTAAGACATACCAATAGTCCCTGTACATGGCCTTCAATCTTTGATACAAAGATAATTTTTGAAATTGTTCTAATTCATCAGCTTCTTCTGCAGGCTTTGATTGAGGTGAATCCAGTTTAGGAGACCCAGATTTGGGTAAATCTGATTGAGACGACACGGATTTCAGATCAGATGATTTATATTCCTTTGGGTTGATAGCATTGTATCTGTAAAACTGGCTTATTGCACCCAATCTATGATTCTTTGATAAAAACGGACTGATGGGCAAGTTGCCACCTCGAAAGCCAGTGACACAATTTCTCCTGCTGGAGTTATGGGGCCAACACACAGCGGCTGAGGAAGAAAGAAGAAAATTACTTGACGCGAATTTATAAAATAGTATTGCTCAATTCAAAATTAAACAATTATTTTGTTACCACTGCTGATCATTCTCTTGTTCCAAGTTCCGACTGATTGCATGACTAATACATCAGAATAGGAGGCAGGTCTCAAGAGGCAAATTAGACGAGAGCTGGCCATGGTTAGAAATCAACAACCCTTCGATAAAATCTGCAAAAATAAATCAAAATTGAGGTGTTTGAGCCGGTGGTATCGTGAGGGTTTTGGTCTGCAGTAACCCCACTGATCATTTAAACTAAGAGGAGAATAGGATGCAATGACAACGTTGCAAATAACTCCACGCCCAAGAATAACATGTGTCCTGAGATTATCAAGATAGAAGGAAATCTAAATAAGGTACACATAATTCATTCAATCACAAAAATCAGATGAACATACATTTCGTAAGATATTTTAAGGTTGGATCATACTGTGAGGTAAAGTTAATTCGCCATTGCTCAATTCATTGATATTGATATTGCCCCCTTCCCCCCACCACTCTTCTGCTTCCACACAACATTTCTTTTCAGAAAGGAGCAACCGAAAAAAGTCAAGTTACTCACGAATGAACACCTTTTTCTGCTGTTCAGGTACGTTTAAACTATCTCCTAAATCACCAGTTCATGACATTAGTTCAAATTATTTTTTATCGTAGTTTCTTTCGGTCTAATATTGCGTTTGTTTATGTTTCAGTTCGCCCCCGTCGTCTGTTTGTTATACTAACCTGACAACCTGACGGTATACTGAAACGTCACCTCACAAAACTTATTCCCTTTGCTTCTTGTATGTTTCAAGGAGTTTGGGAAGGGGGCTCATCTCTCATCACTAACAATGGTATTGCCAAGATGATGTTGATTCTTTTATACTTACTTGCACCCCATACAGCTTCAAGTGCAATAACTGTACTTTATCAACACTTGTTGACAACAATAATGGACTTTCCATATTTTCCATGATGATCTATTCCTTTTATTTTGACGATTATTATTATTATTAGCTTACTGTAAAGTAATTGTGGTTTTATTTCACAGGCCCGCTATTTTCCTGAACGTGAAATTGATGGCAAGTAACATTAATCTGGGTCACTGCCAGCCAAAGTGCTAGTTGAACTTTCACCTGCTATATAATGAGATTATCCTGAGTTTTGATAAGTTCTCTAACGAAATTTAATTTTTTACCTTCTAGAATTCAGAGAATGCTTCTATCTTTTCGCCAGAAGTGAGCAAATACGAACCCTGGATGAGCTAACAGTTGTTATGCGATCTCTGGGTATGAGTCCAACAATTGGAGAACTTAAGAGGTACATGAAAGAAAAAGGGGGGAAAATGACTTTTCCTGAATTCTTAGAAGTCATGCATGAACATCGCAAAGCGGAAGATTTACCAAGAGAGATTGTTGAAGCCTTTCGAGCAGCTGACCCTCACAGGAAGGGTTACATTCCAGCTCGCCAGCTTCGGCACATGCTTTTACGTTGGGGAGAGTGTTTAAGCAGCCGAGAAGGTATGCCCCTCTGATCTCATCTGAAATTTGTTATAGATTTTAGTGACCTGCTACATCTAAAATTTAATATTTTTTCTTTATAGTGGATCAAATCTTTAGGGAAGCCAATGTGTCAACAAATGGAGTAGTGAAGTATGAAGATTTTGTGAAGATTTGTTGTGCACCAGTCCCTGACTACTATTGAGTTTTTGGAAAGAAACAACAAATGGCTGGTTTACAGTACTTAAGATGTTTTTCAGCTCATTTGCACAAGCTTTGAGATGGATTGTGCATTGCAGTATTAAGAGTTTGATAGTTTTTCATGTTATGATGTTGGGCTGGACCATAATTTCTGTACGACTCTTAAATTTTAAATACCTAGTATAGACTTTGTAAATTATTATATTTTGATTAACAGTATAAGTTTTATAAAGAGTATCCCTAATAAACACAAAACACTCACTTTAAGTCAATTGCCTGTTTAGGACTGTCAAAAAAGTGAGTCCCTTTCTAAGAGATTGACTCACTGACAACCAAAAACAGTCAATTGGCTTAAAGTGAGCGTTTTGTATTTACTGGGTCCATTTCTACCCATTCCAAGACGGTGTGATTTTATCTGTACATAGGGATTAATTATACGAATCAATATATACCAAATCCATACATTCTTTTTACTCACCTCATGAGGGAACTGGGATCGTCTTTCTATATTTGAAAGAAAAAACGTCCTAACTTTAAAATAATATTTCTATTATTCATTCAGTACATGCACCAGAGGTGGAATGAATCAACAAACAACTAATTAGATGTGGTACTACATGCATATTCTGTAGTTACAATTATTGAGGTGGTTACAGGCTACACCCTTGAGACCACTATACTCTCTGTGATGTACAAAACAATCATTAACACAACAATAACAAGATATATCCTGAATAACATGATCCAGAGTATACTGTCTTTAAAATTATTACAGTAACCAAGACAGGCAGTTTGCAAAAGAATCAGCCCCTTTAAGTAGAGATTTTGGCAGCTCTCTTTTGCTACAGATCACAGATAATAAATAGAGTTACTTTATAAAAAACAAAATCCAGGCTAGGGTATTGGTATTGATTTTTAGGGACCTACAATTTTGGATCACTGAGAATGGCATCACAATTAAAATAAGGGTCACAACTCTTTTGCAAATAATAATAAATTACTATATCATTGTACAATGAACATTTAATAGGCTATTAACGGTTCAATATCTGAAACTGTTAAAATCATGAGGTCACAAGACTTGAGAATGTACATAAAAATGACGATAGTCCTTGGCAATTTGCCATGCTCTGTTTCGAAATCCTGAGAAATCCATCATATTTAGAGACTGATCTAAAGCCACATAAAGATGTGTGGGGTCAAATTGAAGACTGTACACAGGGCTACTATGATCACTGTTCATAAAGTACATCTGTAAATTAAAAAAATAAAATCCATTTATGTTTCTAGTAGCACAAGTGGCAAGTTTTAAGATCAATAAAAATCAAGTATTTTCAGTTCCCATACATAGTTTATATTTACTCACTTGAAGAGACCTGGTGTGTCTTTTGTCCCACATCTGGACACGCCCATGCTGAGCTGTGCCACAGAGTAGAGAGTGGCTATAGTCTGACGCCAGAGAGTATAGAACAACATCAAATGGATCGGACCAGAATCGGACGCATGAAAGAGTTCTGTAAATAGTGCCATACTGTCACATCCAGTCCAAACTTTTACTAAAACACAATTTACTGAAGAGACTTGCCAAAAGACACAAACCTGATATCCCACATTCGAACTATGCTATCATAACCACATGAAACAAGGGTATTAGGATCCTCCCAAACAACATCAAGAATTCCAGCACCCCGTTTGATTACTGGATACTTCAAAGACGCCATTTGACATCTAGGGGAAAAAATGTGAACAAACTTAAGATTAAGTACTAGAACATAATAGTTCACCCAAGTTATTTAATGTAGGGGAAAATTCACCTTTCTACGTTGTACAAACACAGAGGTGGTTTTGTGTGATGATGCCCTGACATACCATAGCAGAGCATTGAACTCGAACCAGGCTGCAGAGCTACTGTCCAAACTCTATCATCAGTAGCAACAGACATTTTTGGCTTAATTTTGTCATCTTCTAAGCTCCATACCTGACAAAAATTTGTGTTGGTTTAGACGAGGAAAAGCAATAAAGTTGGGGACTTGTGTTAGTTCATGAATTACCTTTATGGTTTCGTCCTTTGAAGCTGTAACTATGACTTGATGGCCATCATAATCAACATCAGTTATGTCTGAATTGTGAGCATACCTCTCCTCTGAACATTTTTTGTTCTGTCGTAAGTTCCATGCCGATAGAGATCCATCTCTGGAAAACAAATAAACTGGAATGAAGTCTTCTCAAAACTTGGACATAATATTTATTGAAATTTTTAGTTGATACATTACCTTCCACCACTCACAACCATTCCACTCTTAACTACAAATCGGCTGACATCTTCTCGGTGAGGTACAAAAGACAGAGAGGGAACACACCCAATGGCATTCAATCTTCTTTTTAAAGCTAAAATTTGCCTTCCTCTGCTAAACCACAGAATATCTCTTTCCAGTTGGAGCCATGGCATAAACCTGTTTCATTTTTTTAAAAATATTTTAGAAAAATGTTAGCATAAAGTGTGGCGAATAATGATCAGTTCAAACTAATGAGTGTTAAATATAGATTCAGAATGATTTTACATACTTAGTTCTATTATTTAGGTATATAGTCTCTTGATATCGTCCTGAGTTCCAGTTTTGAGATATGCGGCATCGTTCTTTACAGGGTAAAATGGAAAATGATCTGTTGTAAACAGGAAAAAGTTAATAAAACAAACAAATGGGAATTTAATTCAGAGGGCAGAGGGGCTCTAAAATAGAACAGTTCACACACTTGTAGACCATATTCCCATCCAGAAACATTTCATCAACTCGACACCTAATAGAAGTTGAGGTCTATTTTCCAGACCAAGTAGATGTCTAAATGGGTGTCTATATAGATGTCTAAATGGTCTAAAAACAGATGACAACATCTATAAGACAGCTAATCAATGTCAAATAGATGCTTCAGGCTAAATTGCAAACCATAAAGGAAAAAATAAAACAGAGTTAATGGTATGGTTGATGTATTATAACGTAACACCATTTTGATCTACAAATTTCTGAAAAGGTTGCAACTTTGTAAAGTCTCCTAAAGTAATGAAGAGGAGATAGTAGGGGTTTAATGTAGTAATGACTGACCCTGCCATATGCAGAAGACCAAGTTGCAACATGTTTGTCAAAATGTACTTGAGAAGATTCTCACCTGCTCTTAATTTCGTCGGAAACCTGATTGGAAACATTGACTTTTCTGCTTCGTTCAAGCCAGACGAAGTCTTCACTGATAATGCTGTTGATGCGTTTGCAAGTCTGACTAAGGCTCAGCAGTGAGCGAGTATCACAATATCGGAAAATGGCCAAAAGGACATCTGTTGGTAAATCTTGAAATAGTAAATATTCGCTCTCTTCTTTGACCCCCTCTTCGGGGGTGCAAGAGTCGCTCATGACTCGATGAGCGAGCTGTCATAGTTTGTTTACCACTGTATAACCAAACTTAACTTTACATTATTTCGACGCCATCTTGCCAAAACGACTGGCGACGACGACGAAGGGGAGGGGGGAGGTCAATCGATAGCATCGACGTGTAGTTCGAGAGATGTAAATGTCGAGGTGGCGAACTTCCCTCTACACCAAACGGAGGGGAAAACCAAAAGGCGTTGCGGGCACAGGAGTAATTTTTTACCAAGTTTACCCGAACAATGAAGGGAAAGGACAGTACAACTGGAACTCACCCTACACAGTAACTGCGCAATCACCCATCCCCTACCTATGCCCCCCCCCCACCACCACCATACCCAACCCCCTAACATACCATACCAAACACAACCCACCCAACCTACGCTTCAGTACTTTAAAGGGAACGAATGTCAAAGGGTTCAGGAGAAAATATAATGACGATGAGGAAATGCGATGAAGCGACGAGGAAGCGATGTGGTGTGTGTAGAGGGAGAGAGGGCTAGGGCTATAGAGAGAGAGGGGGGGGGGAGAAACGGGGGAGCGAAAGAGACCGCTGTGTGAGTGTAAAAGAGAGGAACGGTAGGGTGGGAACGCAAACGGCTAGGGCGATGTGGTATTGATCAGCGGCGAGACTCCCCTCCCCCCCCCCCTCGCGAGATGAGAGACTGGGGGTGCTGCGCTGGGAGAGGGGAGGGAGGGCGGGCGCGAGGGCAGGAAGCTGCGGGAGCTGGACCCGAGCCGGGACGTGCCGAGCCGTGCCGAGTGGCGCTGGTGGCGCCCTGCCCCTGGAAGTTAGGCACAACTCACGACGCCCACTCGGCAGCTTGTTGTAAGCTGGGACACCAGCCTGGAAACTCGAGGCCCGCCAACCACTAGAGCTTCCTATTGGAAGCAGCATCCGAGTTACATCGGGCACCCTCTGCGTCCAGAGGTCGACGACTCCTCAACGGCCGCTAAAAAGACGAGTGAGTACGACTGGTCCTGGTACTTGGTGGGTGGGAACATCAGGGCCAGGGGCTGAAGGGCCAGGAACCCTCATAGTGGCGTCAAAACACCAGCTGGGGCAGACTTGTCTCGACTGGGCTGGGTTCGCCGCTGTGGCAAAAAGCGTTCCACCTTCCTACTCTGATCAAGGTGTCCAAAAAAGTCTTTTCCTCCGGATAATATGTGTTAGTGGTACATTGACTAGTGTGTGCGAGTGTGACTAGTGTGTATGTGTGTGTGAGGGGGGG